CCCAACTGGGGGGTAGTTTGGTGGGGGTCTGTAGGGGGATGGGGATGGGGCTTGGGATCGCTGACACGATGCTCAAAAGCCCCAGTGATGGGAGGCGGAGGACGAAAAGGAGGAGGAGGAGGAGGAGGAGGAGGAGGAGGAGGGAGGAGGAGGGAGGAGGAGGAGGAGGGGAGGAGGGAGGAGGGAGGGAGGAGGAGGAGGGAGGATGGAGAGGGAGGGAAGGAGGAGGGAGGGGAGGGAGGGAGGAGGGATGGGGATTGGTTAAACGAGGCCGGCCGCCGCCGCGGGAGGCCTCGAGGGACAGGGCGCCCGCCGTGGCCGCCAGCGCGGTGGCGGCCAGGAGCGCCCGCGCGGCCATGCCGGGCGGGTGGCTCCGCCCCCCGTAGGGCGCGGTGCCGTCCACCGCGCGCCCCGCCCCGCGGGACCGACCACAGGCGTGCGGTCGTCGTCGTCGTGGTCGTCGTAGTCGTCGTCGCATCATCATCATCATCATCATCATCATCATCATCATCACCACCACCACCACCACCATCATCATCACCACCACCACCACCACCACCACCATCATCACCACCACCACCACCACCACCACCACCATCATCATCATCATCATCATCATCATCATCATCATCATCGTCATCGTCATCGTCATCGTAATCGTCATCGTCATCGTCATCATCATCATCATCAACCACCACCACCACCATCATCATCATCATCATCATCATCATCATCATCATCATCATCATTATCATCATCATCATCATCATCATCATCAGCATCAGCATCATCATCAGCATCATCAGCATCGTCATCATAATCATCTCACCACCACCACCACCATCATAATCATCATCATCATCATCATCATCATCATCATCATCAGCATTATCATTATCATCGTCATCGTCATCGTCATCATCATCGTCATCATCGTCTTCGTCGTCGTCCTCATCATCATCATCGTCGTCGTCGTCATCGTCGTCGTCATCGTGGTCGTCCTCGTCATCATCATCATCATCATCATCATAAACACCGTCATCGTCATCATCGTCATCATCATCGTCATCATCATCGTCATCATCACCGTCGTCATCATCCGTATCATCATCGTCATCGTCATCAGCATGAGCATCATCAGCAACATCATCATCATCAGCATCATCATCATCATAATCATCATTATCATCATCATTGCAATGGTCATCGTCGTCGTGGTCGTCGTCGTCATCGTCATCATCATCACCGCCATCATCGTCACCATCATCATTATCATCGTCATCACCATTATTTTCGTCATACTCACCATCATCATCAACCTCAACAACATCATCATCAGCATCATCATTACTGTCATCACCATCATCATCACCATCATCAGCATCATCATCATCACCCTTGTCACCTTCTTCGCTCCGCTATCGTCACCGTCATCGTCGTCAACATCATCTTGTTCATCATCATCATCATCATCATCATCGTGATCGTCAACATCATCATAAAAGTCACCACCCTAACAATCATCATCATCATCGTCGTCCTCCTCATCATCATCACCATCAGCCTCATCGTCGTCGTCGTGATCGTCGCCGACGTCATCATCATTATCATCATCATCATCATCATCATCACCGACGTCGCTATCATCATGGTCATCATCATCATCGTCGTCGTCGTTGCCGCCGTGGTCGTCGTAGTCGTCATGGTCGTCGTGATCGTGGTTGTCGTCGTCATCATCATCATCGCCTTCGTCATCATCATTATCAGCAGCATTATAATCAACATCATCGACATCACCAGCATCAGCATCATCAACCTCAACATCATCATCACCATCATTAGCATCATCATCACTGGCACCATGATCATCATCATCATCATCATCATCATCATCCGCATCACCACCCCAACCACTGCCACCATCATCAGCGGAAGCAAACGCAGCAGCAGCATACTTGTGATGATCACCATTATCGTCATCATCACCACCATCACAGCAGTATCCTACTCGTGATAATCAACATCAGCATCATAATCATCATCACCACCAGCACCCCCACCACCACCACCACCACCGTCATCGTCATCATCATTATCACCATCACCATCATGATCACCATCAGCATGATCACAATCATCATCAGCATTGTCATCACCATCATCATCATCGCCATCATCATCACCATCATCATCAATAACATCAACGTCATCATCACCGTCACCGAAATCGTCGTCGTCACCACCGTCGTCGTGATCGTCGTCATTGTCATCATCAAATTTACCATCCTCATCCTCGCCAGTATCATCCTTAACATTGGCGTCAGCATCATCCTCATCATCAGAGTCATCGTCGTCGCCATCGCCATCGTCATAAACGTCGTGATCACCATCATCATCAGCATCATCCCCATCGTAATCATCACCAGCCGCATCACCATCAGCATCATCATCAGCATCATCATCGTCGTCAAATATTAACATCAGAACATGTATCATCATCACGTGCACCAACATCAACACCAATATCGCCATCAACATCTTCATCAACTTCGTCATTATCATAGACACCACTTCTGTACCGTTATCGTCACCGCCATCGTCGTCATCATCCTCATCGTCATCGTCAACATCATCACCATCAAAATCACCATCATCCTCATCAGCATCATCAATGTCACCACCATCAGCATCATAAAACCCACAATGATCATCATCATCATCATCGTCGTCATCCTCATCATCATCGTCGTCGTCATCGTCGTCATCGTCGTCGTCATCGTCACCATCGTCGTCGTCATCGTCATCGCCATCATCATCATCATCATCATCAGCATCATCATCATCATAATCATCATCATCATCATCATCATTGTCGTCAGCAGCGTCGTCGTGGTCGTTGTGGTCGTCGTGGTCGGCGTGGTCGGCGTGGCCGTGGTCATGGCTGTGATCATCGTCGTCACCGTTATGATCATTACCATCATCATCACCACAACCACCACCATCGTCATCATCATTATCAGCCACATCATCATCATCATCATCATCATCATCATCATCTTCGTCATCACCACCACCACCATGATCATCAGCATCGCCATCATCACCACCAACATCAGCATCAGCATGTCATCCGCATCGTCGTCCTCACCACTATCATCATCCCAGCAGCATCATTATCATCATCATCATCACAACAACCATCAGCAGCATCATCATCACCATCGTCATCATCCTTGCCACCACCACCACCATCATTGCCATCATCATTTCCAGCAGAAGCAAAACCATCACCACTATTATTATCGCCACCATCATCATCATCATATACGACCATTACAAATATCAGAGCCATCATCACCACCACCATCATCATCATAAGCATCATCAGCATCATCACCACCACCATCAGCATCATCACCAACACCATCATAAGAATCATCAGCATCATCATCACCACCACCAACATCATTACCATCACCACCACCAGCACCACTATCATCAGAATTATCATCAGCATTACCACCGCCATCATCATCACAACCACCACCACCATCATCACCCTCATCATCATTATCAGCATCATAACCATCATCACCACCACCGTCATCAGCACAATCACCACCATCATCAGCATCTTAATCATCATCACCATCCTCATCATCACCACCACAATCATCATCTTCATCATCATCAGCATCACAGTCATCATGCGAATCATCATCATCATCATATTCACCACCATCACCACCATCATCAACATCAGTGTCACGATCAGCATTATCATCATCAATTTCATCATCACCACCACCACCACCATCAATATCACTACCATCAGCATCAACAGCATTATTATTCTCATCACCATCAACAGCAACATCGTCATCATCCTCATCATCATCAGCATCATCATGTTAATCAGCATCATCAGCAACAGCATCAGCATCATCAACAATCAATCAATCAATCAATGGCTCCATGGGAGGCGGTCTGCGCAGCACTATAAAGATGCAAACTAGGGACCAGGGCCTCGGAGCATCGCGCGAGCGAAGGGCGGATAAAAGTACCCGAGGCCCTGGCCCCTCGGGACCAGGCCCGCGCTGCCTCCATACAGGGCGGCCCACCCCGATCGGCGCGCAGCCATCTCGGCTCCAGCGAGCTGGCACACTGGAGGCCCTCGCGTCGGTGCGCGCCCGCGGCGGGCGCTCCGGCGCGCGCCAGGGAAACCGGGCGGCGGCCTCCGCCCGCACGCTGGCCCGACGCCTGCGCCGCGAGCGGCAGGCGGCGCAGGACTGGACACGGGCGGCGGCTCTGGCCTTCCGTCGGGCGCGTCCCCCTACAGCGGGATTTTCGACGAAAAACCAAAAAATACCCCCAAAAAATCCAAAAATAATCTAAAAATGGTCTGGGGACTATGTTTGGAATCTTTTTTGACCTTTCGGGGGGAATTTTTGGGGTATCTTTTATTTTTAATCGAAAATCCGCCTGTAGGGGGACAGGCCCGACTTAACGCTGGAACGTCTCCCGCGGGGCCTGCGGGACCTCGCTGGGCTGCCACTGGCGGCTCGCAGGCGCAGTGGGCCACCACCTCCCAAGCCTCGGGGAGGCGCCGGCGGCGGGGAGGCTGCTGGGCTGCGCTCATTTCCTCACGTCGACGCAAAGCTGCCCCGCCTTGCTCTCAGGCGGTGGGGCGAGGCCACCTGAGGCCTGGGTGCACCAGCAGCGAAGCCGCCCACGGGCGCGAACCCGAAGAAGCGCGGCACCGCGCTCAGAGGCACGCACATCATCGCGAGCTGCCGCACGAGTCGCCCTGGCCTCCAGAGGACGAGGCGGGGGGAGCGCCGGGGGCGGGCCGCGCGGCGCGGCACTCGCCGCCGCCAGGGGCGGTGCGCGGGCTCGCGCGCGTTCGAGCGCCTGCGGGGCGGGGCGGCGGCGCCCCTCCGGGAGGAGGCGGGGGGCCCTTCGCGCCGGCCGGCCTCGCCGAGGCCGGCGGCCTGCTGCAGGCCCCTGGGCGCCGCGGGGCCGCCGTCGGCGGCGCTGCCGGGCGGGAGCGGGCCGCGGCAGGCCGACCTGGAGGGCCAGGAGTCGGAGGAGAGCGTCGAGGAGCCGGAGGGCCTGAGGGTGGCGCCCTTGGACCTCGGGCCGGGTACCTCCGCGCTGGAGCCGGGAGGCATCGCTCGCGTCGGAGGCGGAGGCCGACGAGTCCGAGGACAGCGCGACGGAGGCGTCGGAGGGGAGCGTGCAGGAGAGCACGGAGGAGCTCGAGTTCGGCGACGGCCGGGTGAGCGAGGGCAGCGTCGACGACTGCGTCGACGACGGGCGGCACGGGGGCGAGGACGTGCCGCAGGCGGCCTCGTCCGACCCGGACGTCCGACGTCTCGATTTTTTCGAGGCGCGGGCCCCCGACCTCCCGACCACTTCCCTGGGACCAGCTTTTCATCCCGAGCCGTCTTCTGGACGGTCCCGAGGCCCGGCGAGGGCCCCGAGGGGCCAAAAACTATGGAAAAACACCCTGCCTCGACTTCTTCGAGACGCCCGATGTCTGGGGAGGGCGACCCGTGGGTCACCTCGGGCGACGAGCTGGACGCCCCGCCTACCCATCGGACGGAAGAAGTAGGTAGAAACATGAAGTAGGAAGGCGTTGGAAATAGATTGGGTTTCCGCCCGCCTCCTGAAGAGAAAGGAAGAGGGAAAACCACTCGACTCTTAAAGTAGGAAGGCGCTGAACGTAGATTGTAATCTGGGAATCCAAAAAAGATACCTACTTTCAACGACCGATGGGTAAGGGCGACCCATCGAAGTCGGAGGGCACGGGCGCGGGCGAGTGCCGGGCGGCAGCGCAGGCGAAGGAAAGCGCGGCCGAGCCGAGGTGCAGGGAGGCGGGGCGAGGGCCTGCACGAGGCCGCGGGCGGCGCCGAGGCCCCGAGGTCCGCGAGCGGCGGTCTCCTCCTCCTCCTCCTCCTCCTCCTCCTCCTCCTCCTCCTCCTCCTCCTCCTCCTCCTCCGCCTCCGCCTCCTCCTCCTCCTCCTCCTCCTCCTCTCCTCCTCCTCCTCCCCTCCTCCTCCTCCTCCTCCTCCTCCTCCTCCTCCTCCTCCTCCTCTCCTCCTCCTTCCTCCTCCTCCTCCTCCTCCCTCCTCCTCTCCTCCTCCTCCTCCTCCTCCTCCTCCTCCCTCCTCCTCCCCCTCCTCCCCTCCTCCTCCTCTCCTCTCCTCCTCCTCCTCCTCCTCCTCCTCCTCCTCCTTCATCATCATCATCATCATCATCATCATCATCATCATCATCTCATCATCATCATCATCATCATCATCATCATCATGCTTCTCCTCCTCCTCCTCCTCCTCCTCCCCCTCCTCCCCCTCCCCCTTCTCCTCCTCTGCGGATGGAACCAAGAGGCAGGTGACGGATGGGACGCACAGAGACGTACTAATTCTACATGTCCTCCCTGGAGGCGCGCGTCAGACCCGAACATATAGCAGACCCATCTCATAGCATATCGTTCCCCGAGCGGTGTGGCCAGAAAGCGCCCGCCACGGCGCATGAACTAAAAGATTTCTCGGCGCGCGCGTCGGCCCTGGGGGGTCAACGCACATATAGTATGAGTATGTTGGGGTGGCGCCGAAAGGAGGGCGGCGGCATCGTGTGTGCAGGCTTGGAGGGCAAGGCGAACGTCGGCCTCGAGGGCGCGGAGCATCGCGCGGCGCTGCTCCGCTCGGCGAGCAGGCTGGGCAGGGCGCACACCATCGAAGAGGTCGACGACGCGCTCGGGGAAGGCTGGTCTGGAGGCCTAGAAATGGGCACCAACACCAACACAAGGGGGTTGCCTCCACATGGGGAAGATGATCCTAGATTTCAGTGCTGGTGGCAATAGTTCGGTCACCTTGAAGCCAGAATACTACCACCATCACCGAGATCGGGATCTTCTTCCCTCGGTGGGGGCACACCGCCGATCTTGGTGTTGCTGTCAACCTCTAGGCCTGCGGCCGAGGAGGAGGACGAGGAGGAGGAGGAGCGGCAGGAGGAGGAGGAGGAAATGAAGGAGGAGGAGGAGGAGGAGGAGGAGAAGGAGGAGGAGGAGGGGGGAGGGAGGGGGGGGAGGGAGGGGGAGGGGGAGGAGGAGGAGGAGGAAGGGAGGGGGGAGGGGGAGGAGAGGAGGAGGGAGGAGGAGGAGGAGGAGGAGGGGAGGAGGGAGAGAGAGCAGGAGCAGGAGGAGAGGGAGGAGGAGGAGCGGCAGGAGGAGAAGGGGGAGGGGGGAGGAGGAGGAGGAGGAGGAGGAGGAGGGAGGATGGAGGAGGAGGAGGAGGAGGAGGAGGGGGAGGGGAGAGGAGGAGGCGAGGAGGAGAAGGAGGAGGAGGAGAAGAGAGGAGGAGGAGGAGGAGGAGGAGGAGGAGGGAGGAGGGGGAGGAGGAGGAGCTCGGGGGGGGGGGGGCTGGTGGGCGTGCGGCGGGCCGAGGCGGGGCTGCGAGGCCACCGCCAGGGCGTCAGACGCCCGCGCGGGCCGGCCGGACGCTGGGCGCCCCGCGCGCACGGTGCGCGCAAGGGGCCCGCCACGCGTCGGACCGCAACTGGACAGCGTTGCGCCGTCACAGACCGTCGCGGACCAGCATCATCATCGTCATCGTCGTCATCATCATCATCATCATCATCATCATCATCATCATCATCATCATCATCGTCATCATCATCGTCATCGTCATCGTCATCGTCATCGTCATCGTCATCGTCATCATCATCATCATCATCATCGAAATCGTCATCGTCATCGTCACCATCATCACATCATCAGCATCAGCATCAGCATCAGCATCATCATCAGCATCATCATGATCAGCATGATCAGCGTCAGCAGCAGCATCACCATCAACACTAACACCAACAACATCAAAACCAACATCAACATCAGAACGTTCTCATCGTCATCATCATCATCATCATCATCAGCAACAACATCAACATCCTGATCCTCATCCTCATCACCATCAACATAACCATCACAATCAACATCATCGTCATCGTCATCGTCGTCATCATCATCGTCGTCATCACAGACCGTCGCGGACTAACATCATCGTCATCGTCATCGTAGTCATCACCATCATCATCATCGTCATCGTCGTTATCATCATCATCGTTATCATCATCGTCATCATCATCGTCATCAGCATCGTCATCATCATCATCGTCATCCTCATCGTCTTCATCATCAAGGTCGTCATCATCATCATCATCATCATCATCATCATTATCATCATCAACATCATCGTCATCATGCTCATCATCGTCATCATCATCATCGTCACCATCATCACATCATCAGCACCAGCATCATCATCAGCATCATCAGCATCATCATGATCAGCATCAGCAGCATCAGCAGCATCAGCAGCATCATCACCATCAACACTAATACCAACACCATCAACACCAACATCAGCATCAGACAGTTCTCATCGTCATCAACATCAGCAACAAAATCCTCATCACCATCACCATAACCATCACAATCAACATCAGAATCAGCACCAGCGTCACCATCACTGTCACCCTCACCATAACCATCATCATCACCATCACCATCACCATCACCGTCAACATCAACATCATCATCACCATCAACATCAGTATCACCATCACAATCATGAACAGTAGCATATGAAAATCAGATCATCTGCGTCATCTTCATCATCAGCATCATTATCACCATCGTCATCATCAACGTCAGAGTCAGCATCGAAATCACAATCATCATCATCAGCATCATCACCTCATCAGCATCAGAATCATCATCATACACAGCATCATCATCACCATCATCAGCATCACCATCACCATCACCATCAACATCACCACCACCATTACCATCACAACAACCACCATCATCAGATCATCAGAATCATCGTCGTCATACTCGTCAGCGTCGTCATCACCATCATCAGCAGCATCATGGTCACCATCACCATCGCCATCAACATCAGCATCAGGTTCACCACCAATGCTATCAGATCAGGAACATCATCATCCTCATCATCAGTATCATCACCATCGTCATCATCATCGTTGTTATCACCATCATCGTCAGCATCGCCATCGTCATCGTAGAAGCATTACCATCACAATCATAAAAAATCATAATCATCACCATCACCACCGCCATCACCAGCATCATCAGTTCAATGTGTATGTTCATGTTCATCATCGTCATCACCAGCAGCAGTAACATCATCATAACCATCACCGTTACCATCGCCATCATCACCACCATCAACATCAACATCAGCGCCAGAATCGTCATCATCATCATTATCCGATCGTCAACATCATCATCCTCACCATCAACGTCATCATGACCATGGCCATCACCACCACCATCATCATCGTCATCATCGTCACCCTTATCACATCATCAGCATCATCATCAGCATCATCATGATCAGCATCAGCAGCATCATCACCATCAACATTAACGCCAACATAATCAACACCAACATCAGCATCAGAACGTTCGCATCGTCATCATCATCAGCCACGACATAAACATGTCATCACCATCACCATAACCTTCACAATCAACATCAGAATCAGCATCAGCATCACCATCACTATCACCCTCATCATAATCATCATCACCATCACTGTCACCGTCACCGTCAACATCAACATCATCATCGACATCAACATCAGCATCCCCATCGCCACCAGAACCATGATCAGTAGCACATGAACATCAGATCATCTGCTTCAGCATCATCATCATCACCATCATCATCAACAACGTCAGAGTCAGCATCGAAATCACCATCATCATCAGCATCATCACCGCATCAGCATCAGAATCATCACCATCATCATCATCATCATCATCATCATCATCATCATACACAGCATCAGCAGCATCACCAACATCAGCATCACCATCACCATCACCATCACCATCAACGCCGCCATCAGCATCACCATAACCATCATCATCAGATCATCAGGATCATCATCGTCATTCTCGTCATCATCGTCATCATCATCATTAGCATCTTCACCATCACCATCGCCATCAACATCAGCATCAGTTTCACCATCAATGCCATCAGACCAGGAACATCATCATCCTCATCATCAGTATCATCACCATCGTCTTCATCATCGTCATTATCATCATCACAATCGTCATCGTCATCGTAGAAGCAGTATCATCACAATCATAAACAAAAACAAAATTATCACCATCACCATCGCCATCACCATCATCATGGGTTCAATATTCATGTTCATGTTCATCATCACCATCAT